CACCAAGTTTTTTCGCAGTGTCGAACTAGAGTCAAGCTCACAGGGGTTGTCTTTCCCTGCCTGTGCCGGTATCTGGACCGAATGGGTGCCAGATACAGGCGCGCGGCCTTTGATCTCTCTCTCTCTCTCTCTCTCTCTCTCTCTCTCTCTCTCTCAACGGTCGTGACCGTCGTTGACAGTTGAAAAGCTTCCCAAATGCGGGTGCAGAGAGTCCCTCGTAACTCAAGTACAAGGTCCCAAAACCCGTTCCCGGACATGGCCGCGTTTCCGCGGCAGATTCGTCCAATTTTGCCCATCCTACAACAATAAGTCAGCCCGTTCGTTAAAACGAATGAGTTTTTTTTGAAGACCACGAACCAAAAGAAAAAAAAAAAACAAAAGCAAAAAAACTCTAAAAGAAGTTTAACTAAGGAAATCTAAAACGAATCTCCAAAGAAAATCTAAAAAAAAAAAAAAAAAAAAAAACAACGAGAAAACTTACCTTATCTCTGAAACGGTCTTCCAATTTTTTCAGGCGCCTGCAACTGCTCGTGGGGATACTAAGTGCCCTTTCTTCTCGTCGCGCCACATGGCACTTTTGTTCTAGTTAGATTTTTATTATTATTATTATTATTATTATTATTATTTTTATTATTATTATTTTATTTAGTTCGATCCCAACTGAGATCCAAAAAAAAAAAAAAAAAAAAAAAAAATTGGACCATTTATCGATTTATGTGTGTCATCCTGGCACAGGGTCATGTTGACCTTCGCGTGTGGCCGCTTCTGGCCGCGTGATCTTGCAGCTCGCACGACCAAGATTGGTCGCGTCCAAACTGCCCCACCCTGATGGTCGGCTCCAAAAGGAGTTAGCCCAGTTCGGGCTCATTCTGGATTCGATCCCCATGTCTGCAGCGTAGCAGTCCAATACATTCACCTACTGAGCTAGCGCCTATCACAGGAGCAAAAACACCAACCCTTCTATTTGAAGGGCTGCGCCCAGTAGGCCGACCCCAGCGTGTGGCTCAGCAGGCTTCATCTGCGGCCTTGCAGGCCCTGCCTACCTACTTCAAGGTCGACGCTCCGCAGCCTACCTGACAGGGGCCTAATAGGTCAACCTTTTAGCCGCGCCCCCAACGTCGGGCCCCGACACAAAGACAAATCTCATAGCCTAATAAAAACATGTGACCCATCTCTCCCGCGTCGGCGTCCTATCCCCGCCGTCCCCGCTTTTTAGCCTACCGAGAGTAGATATCCCATGAACAAAGTCATAGCTTCGTCCTCCTATCCCCACCGTCCCCTTTTTTTAGCCTACCGATATTATTTTAGGTAGAATAGGTCCAACTTTAGCATTTCCATGTCCACACTCTCCTTCGGTTTTGACAAGACGAAGCATTGACAGTTACTGTCGTTACTCTCGGACGCCGCCGACCTCCGGACTAGGGTTTAAAATTTTTAGTATCTCAATCATAGGTCATGTCTGAATAAACTTTTGGCAAATGTTAGTCTCATCAAGCCCTTCAATTGAACGAAAAAATTGGACAGCGTCCGACATTTAAAATCCCCGGCAAATACCCTTGTTAGGGTATTTGTCCCGACACCGTAATGACCATGTCTCCTAAAAACAATGAAGACCATGACTCGATGGATTGTTTTCCACTTTCCTCCACCAATCTGCCTGAATGGAACGTCTCAAATGGAGTACTAGAGCGTCGGATTTGTCGATGGTCCAGTCTTTGTTTTCAAATACTCTCTCATTGCGACTTTGCCAGATGACAGCGAAACATGCTGCACAAAATTTTTGGGTTACGTAGCCGCAGCCTTTGGATTTTTAGAATCCTGAGGGGATTCCTCCCAGCAGGGTCCACTGTTTTGTCCATATGAAGGTTGTGTCAGAAATCCGATCTCAGTGTTTGATTAACCAATTTCAGATGCTTGTAGAAGTCGGGCAGTCCCACCAAAGATGAATGAAAGATTCAAAGACTCATTTACAACGAAGGCATTTCATATATAAGTTCATTACCATTTCGGCAAGCCAAACTACAGATGGGGTAGAGGCCAGAGAGACCTGCCATAATAGAGAGGCATATCTTTGGTTTGGAATAATCTTTAGCTGTTCCCAATACAATGTCAGGGCATTGTCAATAGCTGCTGAGTCCGAGAGCAAAAGTTGAGCCCAGCGGCCACGGGTTACCAGACGTGGGTGTTTTACTGACTGGTTGATGTTGTATCCTATTTTGATCATGTACTCAACTAGTGCGACATTTGTACCCCTGTTGCCCTGAACGGTCCACTCCCATTGGGCAGAATCTAACTTAAGGTGAATCGACGGTTTGCCTTCCCCAAAGAGGTGGCATGCCACCGATCCGTCTGATCGAGGAGTCTCAAGGACTCTGATCTGCTGGAGGACTTCTCCAACTGGGGTGCAGAGGGTTCATCGTCTTGTATCAGGGGATAAGAACCAGTTACAGACCACGATTGAAACTCTCTTGTGCCTCCACTGTTGATTGAGATAAGCTTCTACACTTTCTTGTGTTGGGAATGTCGACAAACAAACCATGTGCTGGGGGGGTCAACCCCCTTCGGGGCTAGGATTGACTTCCAGTTGTCAGGGATGGCTTCGATGAGTGACTTTCTCCTTGCATGTATGAACCAGACTTGTCCCATTTTCATTCTCAGATTCTCGTCAGATACCCAAATGCCGAGAAGTGAGTCTCAAATATCGTTGATACACAAAACTCTCTTTTCGATCCAACACCGGCCAAAGCTGGCTGGAGAGGAGTCGGTCTTGAACCAATCTCCGAAAGTATCCTGTATTATGGAATTTTCGAATAGAGGTTGAGACAGGACCTCAACTTTTGTCTGAGGTTCAAGCCAAATGTTCGGATGAAGTTTTCTCCACACCTGGAGGATAATAGACCAGAAAGGAGATTTGATGTACCGTCGTTGAAACGAAAAGAGGAATGTGCAAGTCCAAACATCTTCAGGCCGGCTCAAGTTTCATTCCTGGCTTAAGATGTGTTCAACCAGTTGAATCCAGTGAGGGGACGGGGAAATTAACCCAGCTTTGGCAATCCATGTACACAACATTGCTGAAATTTGGTTGAGGGGGTCTAGCATGCCTAGGCCACCCTCCTAGTGTAGAAAACACAACATTTCCCAAACAACTTTGGATATAAAAAATCCTCATTACTTGAGAAGGTTTTCGGAATAAACTGTGTTGCCCTTCGTTTGATAAGAGAGTAAGATAACTTACTAATGCCACATACTCTTCCTACATACCACAGAAGCGTGAAGAGAGCGCTGTTAACTACCATGGCCCGTCCAAATAGGGACAAATGTGGAGCTCTTCCCCAGGTTGTTAAACGTTGGAAGACTTTTTTGAGTCATAATGCTTTCCTGGGAATCTCAGCAGTTTCTTAGGGCAATTAGGACTCCCAAAAAGCGTTCTGATTTCTTTTCACTTATCCGCTTCATTCCCCATTCCACGCACAGAGCGTAGTCCTTAGGAAGGAAGACTACCGATTTGTGCCAGTTAATCGCAACTTCAAATAGGTTAGCATATTCGTCAAGGCAAAGCTTGACGACAACCAATGACTCGGGTGAATTTTGAAACACAGCAAAAAGGTCGTCAACCAAGGCTTTTACCTTGAGTGATAACAAACCAACAGTCATACCCTTTATCTGTGAGTGAGCCCGAATATTGTTAAGGACACCTTCCATTTGGATAGTGAACAGTAATGGGGCCAGGGGGCAACCCTGGCGCAGAAATCTCGTCAGGGAGAATTCACCCGACAACCTCCCATTTACCATCACTGTGACAGTGAGTAGAGTGCAATTACCCAGCTGCAGAAATTCGAACCAAAGCCCATGTGATTTGATGTGGAGAGAACATATGACCAGTTTACCCGGTCATATGCTTTTTCCATATCAAGAAGAAGAACCTCGATATCTAGGTTCTCATTCTGTACAATCTCGAGAGTTTCAATAACAGTGACTATGTTGTCAAAACTAGATCGACCCTTAACAAAGGCAGCCTGATCCGAATGAACTATTTTTGGCATATAGCGCTAAAGTCTTCTCGCAAGTACTTTTGCTAAGATTTTGTAGGAAACATTCAAGACGGAAATAGGGCGTCTTAAAAAAAGAGGTTCCTATAATCCCTTCGTGTAGCTGAGAAGGAAACTTCTCACAATTTTTTTTCAGATTTTTTCAGACTTTTTCTGAATTTTAGCCTATCTCGTGGGCGACGTGGGGTTCTTCATCGAATAGGCCAGTAATTGATCATGATCCTATTTTATCTCAAAGTTTTTTCTGTATATGTTCTTAGACATGTTTCATGATCCAGTGGCCTAACTCAGTTGGTAAGGCACGCAAGTGGCATTCAATAGTTCGTGGGTTCAATCCCCATTGGCCTCGTGTACCTTCCTGGGCATGCTTGGTGCCCCCCACCTAGAGATAGACCACTGGATCCCCCAATCGGCATTGAGCAGAGTCTGCTGATGCTCGGAGGGGAGGGGACCTGAGGGGAGGTACAGGGATTGGTCCTGTCGGCGTGGTTCCTGATGCTACCAGCTGTCCCCTAGCCGGTATCGCACACCTGCAGGTCGGGAGCAGCCCCCGCATGTTCTCTCGTGAACACGGTTCTGGCTGCTACGGGGCTCATGTCCTCTGGCTGCTACGGGGCTCATGTCCTCTGGTTCAATCCCCAGTATGCCTACAATTAGTAGTAGTGGTAGGTAGGTAGTGTGAGTGAGGTGAAATTGAGAGGGAAAAAAAAAACCCACATGTTTCATGTTTCAAATGGGACGCTGGGTCCGGTTCCCAGCACGTGCGGCTCCCCACGAATAGATTGGAGCATTGTCCCCAAAAAAAAAGAAAAAAAGAAAAAAGAACAAAGGAAAAAAGAAAAAAGAACAAAGGAAAAAAGAAAAAAGAAAAAAAAAGACGGAAATAGGGCGCCAATTGCGAATCTGTGAGGACTGATATAATCCCTTTACACATGCTAGCAGACAGTCTAGCTCCGGTCAAAACTTCTTCGTTATATATCTCCACGAGAGAGGCACCCAGTCCTTCGGGACATCCGTTAAAATTGGAACGATGCAGAGAAGATTGGCATGGCCCCTGCGCAAGGATGACACGCATAAATCGAGAGAGGCATCCACAACGTTCCATATGGACAAGTGAAGTTCGGTCGGCAGACCGTCATCGCCGGGGGCTTTCCCGGCGGACATCGATTTGAGGGCAGTGAGTGCTTCCGCTTCCGATATGGGGCGGTCAAGATCAAGTTTACCAACAGTGGAGAGGCGAGCCTCTGTGTTGTTCCAGCGGGAGGAGGTTTTGTGCAGGTCGGAGCAGGTAATTGAATTGGCTGGGCTTAAAAGAACTAGCCTTTAAAAAAAAAAAAAAGAAAAAAAAAAAGAAGCGGAGCCCGAGCTCCAGGAGAGAGCAGGGACGTCGGGAAGCATGGCGACTTCGATGGACGGTAATGTTTCTGGAGAAGGTGGTGATCGTCCTTCCGTGGAGTTGGTGGACGAGTCGGCGAAAGCCAATGAAACATCAACGCCGGGGCTCATGTCCTCTGGCGATGAGAAAAGTGAGGAGAGAAAGGCAACGTCCGTGAACGAGGGGGAAGAAGGATCGACGTCCCCTCTTTTGTCAGAGGAGGAGGATGAAAAGGGTGTGAATGAACTCGAGAGGGAGCAGGCTGAGGATGGCGGCTATGCTGGCGATGTGGACGGAACGCTGTCGAGATCGCGCCACCTGGCAGACGTGAATGGGACCACCGTTGAGGAAGACGACGGAGAGGATGCGCGGAATGACTTGAATTCGAGCGGTGATGAATCGGGAGGAAGTTCTGAGTGGTCATCTGGGGCTGAGTGGGAGGATGAGAATGGGGATTTCAACGACGACAGCGGGGATGAGTTGGGGTTGAAGAGCAGCAGCAAGGGCAAGAAAGCGAAGAAGAAGAAGAAGGTGATGATCGTTTCGACTCGTCGCATTTTCTGTTCGCACTTCCCGCCGAACAGTGGCGTGCTTGCTGTCTATTGCTCACTTCCTATTTATTTAATCTGATTGGGTACTTATCTATCCGCCTTTTTTTCGTTCATTTGTTTGTCTGTGTTCTTTATGGGCGTCTGTTTCATCTGTGCATGTCGGTTGTTTCGTGGAGGTTATCTAAGTGGTGCTTGTTCCTCCGTCAATTTCCAGGATCGCCGCATTTGATGGGAGAGGTGGATCCGTGTCCCTGAGCTCAAAGTTCGTTCGTTGATGCTTATCGCATCTCCATCAAGGGAATGACTGTTATAGGAATGAATGGAAAAAGGTAGGATTGGTAACGAGGATGAGGGATTCGGGGGTTGAGAAGTGGAGAGGAAGGAGGGCGACGAGGGTAGTGACGAGTGGGAGGGGGAGGGAGGCAGATGATGAGGAAAGGGTCAAGAGATAGCGGAAGGGTCGA